GGAGGTCAACTAGGTGGAGACATGGCTGCAAAGCTACTTGCACATGGCCCCCGGCCGACACTATCTTTGTGGAACCCACATTCCCACTCAGCCCCGTTTTGAGATTTTCTTGAGGTCAGAGCCAAGTGTTGATTATGAATCTTTAGAAGAAAACAGTCCAAAGACTTCCTTCCTCTTACTCATCTGGAAACAGGCAGCCCATCTGGACACCAGGCTTCCTGCCCCTTGACCTATAACGGCCTGGAGCACACCTCCACCAACCCTCCTGCAGGGATTACCCCAGGGTCTCTTCCACCCAGGGCAGAGGCTTCTCAAAGCCTCCACTGTGTGCACAACTAGTTGGACCCCTTACTACAGGCCGTCCTTGCAGCAGTTGTACAGGAGACTGAGGAGGAGAAGGAATCCCCGGGAGCAGCATCTGACAGCAGGGGACTCTCAGAGTACAGAGCTCAGGCCATTGTCCTTGAGGACAATCAGGCCCTGTTTCTCCACGTAAGGGGCCCACCTTGGGAAAACAGAAGAGGAGGAGCAGAGGAAGGAAGGAAAGAGTCAAGCTGGACAAGCAGATAAAATCAGCTCCTCAATGTCCCCTAGACAGTCTCACCTCCTTTCCTGTCACAGGAAGAGGCTGGTGTCTCCATCCCTGCTCTCTAGGGCTGGCACCATGAGAAGGCTCCACCTGGTGGCAGTCCAAGAGTCCCTAAAGCAGTGGCACATAAATATAAGGACCAGTCATGAAATTATGCATAGCATTCTATCCAAAAGCCATTTGTACTTACATGATGACCTTTTTCTTTTTTCCCCTTACAGAAAAAATCAAGGACCTATTTCCTAGTAAAACTATTGACCAAAACACCAGACTGGTTCTGGTGAACGCAGTCTACTTCAAAGGGCGGTGGGATGAGGAATTTAAAAAAGAACTGACCACAGAAGCAAAGTTCTGGCAGAATAAGGTATTGCATGTGGAAAGTTAAATTTAGACTTATCTGATGGGATGGACCACTAAAGTAGAGAGTGCCTTGAACAAGCAGATATTGTTTTGTTTTATTATAATTTTAGTTAGTTAGGAATGCCTGAAAAAAATAGTAACTTCTCTCTTTATTTCTCAAACTTCTTGAGTTGTTTCTCCAAAAGAGAGGGATGTATTTGGTATCTCCTTAATATTATCTTTTTGTCTAACTTGATATTTATTTGATGTCTTAATTTATTGTAGAATTTGAGCAAATCTGTGCAGATGATGGCCAAAAGCGGGCATTTTAATTTTGCCTTCCTGGAGGATGTGCAGGCCAAGATCCTGGAAATGCCATACAAAGGCAATGACCTGAGCATGGTCCTGCTGCTGCCCAATGAAGCAGATGGCCTGCAGGAGGTAATACTCGCATTGACCGTTTTTCCTCTATTGCCTGATTTTTCCCCCCATGGTACCTGCTTAAGTTGAAACAAGACAAAAACTTTGAGGCCAAGATGCCTGGAATAATAAAAAGTTCAAAACAAGGAACAATGACTCAGTCACTGAATCCGATGATTCAGTGGCACACACCTGTAAACAGCAACTCAGGAGGCCAAGACAGAAGGATGACAAGTTTGAGGCCAACCTCAACAACTTAGTGAGACCCTCAGCAATTTAGTGAGACCCTGTGTCAAAATAAAAAATAAAAAGGGCTGTGATATAGCTCCATGTTTAAGTGCCCCTGGGTTCAATCCCCAGTATATCCTCTTTATAAATAGTTTAGCTTACAGCCTGACACAGGCTAAATTTATTATCATTTAAGTAGAGCTATACACATTAAATATCAGTTTGATGGCAACAAGCAACAATTAAACCCAGAGAAATACATAGCAATGTGAGAAATGTTTAAAAATATATCAAGCAAGAACTAAGAGTAAAAATAGGTCATGTACTATAACTGCAGTATGTAATAAATAATATGTGCAAGAAAATAAAAAGTCTACAAAATGACACATACAGTAGACGGATGGCATGAGAAGTAGTGATATAAGTTCGTTTGGTTCAAAATAATGTAATTCTATTTTTACATACATGTTTGTACATGTGAACACATATAATCAAATAAGTCTACATATACGTTCAGGCCTGCTGTTTTTGCTTATTAGAATAATGTCTAATTAACTGGATCAACTGTGTATGTTGCATTTATTTCTAAACTAAAAATTTCCCACGTATTCCATTCATTGTTAAAGTGTGCTAGAGTCCAAAAGTCGACCAAGTCAGTTTCTTTTTTTCTTTTTTTTTTTTTTCCATCTTTATAGCTTGAAGACAAGCTCACTGCTGAGAAGTTAATGGAGTGGACCAGCCCAAGGAGCATGGAGATGACTAATGTA